ACTCAGACATTTTCCAGACTTCACAGTAGGGCAACCTCTAGACGGCAACCTCTTCAGTGATGGGTCCTGGCAGAGACAGCATGTGTGACTCTCACAAAACAGGGACCCAGGACCTTTCAAGACTCCTTGAGAAGTGCACAGGATCGCTTACCCAGGACTCTTCTATTCAGAGCAATCACAAGCTTCCCCAAGAGTAGGGTACAGGATACAGACCCTACCTCGCCACACAGGTCCAGTGAGGATTAAATAAGAAACACACAAAAAACACGACCACAGTGAGAGGAGACATACAGGCATACTGAGCTGAAAACACTGCTCCATGGCCAGTTACGGGCCTGAAAGATGAATTAATGTACCTTTTGGAAGCTTTACGGGCAATAACCACCAGCATAGTTTATTAAGGAACACTGTTCGTGCCCCAAAGCACTTAAAGAAGATGCTTTGGAGTGCTGATAAATTACACTTTGGACATTGATATTAATAAATGTGTCAAAACAATGATTTAATTCATGAAGACACAATTGCATAATCCTCTTCTAAAGCCCTGAGCTCCTTTATTGTCACTTAACAACGTCACTTTGCTTCTTAAGAACACAACTTTTCCTTAACTTTTGGTTGTTGTTGTTTTGTTAAATCCATACAGGAGAGATTGTGCAAACCAATGAAAGGAGAGGTTAGACAAGAGAACTGTGCCGGCCAAAATGAGTTTGCACAGCTGTGAGCAATAAAATACAGCAGCCATGGCAACACTCTCCAGTGTCCCGATAACACATCCAAAATGAGGTTATTAGAATTATTAATTCACATTAGTGGCTATTAAAATTACTACCTGCAGATTGCTGCCTGCAAACCCTTTTTGTGTGTATCAGAGGAAGACCATGTTTCCAGCGGGATCTGGGTATTTAAATAGATGCAATCTATTGTGTGGAAGACTTTGGAGGAAGACTAGCAGATAATAAAGCTTGCAGTGCGACTGGAGTCTTGCCTTGTAAGGCAAGGAAGGCGGATGTAAGGAAGGCTTTGTTCTCCTGGCTGATGGCAGAGAACCAGCCAGCTTCTGATGCTGGGATAACTGGACGCTTGGTTCCTCCATTCCCTTCAAGATATTACTGAAAATCCATCCCAGTGTGGGCCATGTCATGTGACTCTGAGTGGCATAGGAAATATTCTACCTCTGTAAGGCATACACAAAATCAAAAGAAGTCAGCTGAAAATGTGAGCTATTTGTAAGGGAGTTGTGGGGATTCTCAGAAAGCCCACAGAGACTTGGCTCACTCCCTTGCATCCCCCATTAACTCAACTCAAAAAGCAGATGCCTGCTGTTTTAAGCAAAAGAAGAAACCCCATTCCAGAGAGGCCGGGGTAGGAATTAATCAGGGGAAGCAACCATACAGCTGAGAAAGAACATTTTATTTATGGAAATGAGCAGGAACACACACACACACACACACACACACACACACACACACACACACACGAGAAAGAAAACATGCAGATATAGAAATGCAACTTCAGCTGCAAAATAAGAGCCTCCTCCTCTTCCTCTATCTCAGCAGTGTCCTGGAGTGTGTGGAGAACTGGCATCCCCCTGGGGAAACAGTGCCCCAACTAGCCACTGTCATGTACAGGGTTGAAGACCCCAAAGAACCCTGGGTCCAGTTTGAAATGTGGATGGTAGAAGAAGGTGAGTCCTCACTTCTGCCTTTAGGAAGCAAATACTCTGAGTCCTGTCCCTCCTCGAAGGCATAATGCTCACAGTCCCAAGACGCAGCCTCCCCATATCCTACCAGCAGAAGGGTGTCTTGTGTCTCTGACCACAGCACCCCATCAATTGCATGGGCCCCTGCCTAGCTTGTCTCTGCTTCCAGAGGAAGCTGGTATAGGAGCCAGGCTAAAGCAGAGCTCTGAGCTCTGATAGGCCTATGTGTAAATCCAGCTGCCACATTCTCCAGTCTAAATTTCAAACATATGATCCGCAGAGTATTTGGGTGTTGCTTCCAAATTCCCAGAGCAATGTGAGTCACAGAGTTCACAAGTCAAAAATGCTGAACTTTTTGGAACATTCCGATGGTTTGTGGGATGTCTTGATAATATGTTTGAAATTGTCTGGTTCAGAAAACCAGAAGATATGTGTGCCCAAAGAGGTTACATACAGAACCTTCCTGAACAGGATTTTGTCTTGGAGATGAGCCTCAATGAATAGCTCATTACCACCCAAAGCAAGGAGCTGCCATGAGATTTTTCTAATAATTGCTAGTTCTTTTCTCTCTATGGAATATAGACCTATATATTCCAAATGAGTTCACAGTCTACTCTGTTCAACAAGTCTCTCCTGAATACTTGTCTTTACTTCCGCACCTACGGTGGGGGAGGGAGGTCATTCTAAATAAATGGCCACAATTGTTTGTATTTTGTAATCATGTCTTAAAGTTCTTCCTGGCAAAAATGCCACACATCTCATGGAACTACACTAAAAAAGACTTTTAAAGGATTAACTGCTTAAATATTTAGGCATTAAGAGGGCTTACCCTTTCATTTGGCTTAATTTTCAAAGTTATCTGGCTTTCTTCAAAGTTATCTGACTTAAAGGATTTTTTTTATTAAAAATGAATCAAAACGTTAAACAATATAAAAGCATGAAAATAGAAAATGAATGCTGTTAAGAAATCACCCCTTAAAAAACAAGAATAATAACAGGGCCAGGCATGGTGGCACACACACCTGTGACCCCAGGACCCTGAGTTCTAGGCTAATCTGAACTCCATTGCAAGACCCTATCTCAATAAATAAATAAACAAATAAAAAATAGCACACACAAGCACAAACAGAAGAAAACACCATCTGCAGGTAAGCAGCTCCTCATATTTTTTCAGGGGTGTGTGTGTGTGTGTGTGTGTGTGTGTGTGTGTGTGTGTTTGTGTGTGTGTAAAAGGAATCTAATGGAGATAAACAGATTAGCATCTCTTGGTGATCTTCAATCTCTGCTCCCTGTGAATCAGAAAATCTATTGAGATTCCAGATTCCCCAAGCTCTCACCATGAGTCCCAAATTGTTCTTTTCTTAAATCACAAAAATTCTGGATACCGTCTCAGCCAGAGCTTACATTCACTTCTAAATTATTTATTTCCCATTTAGCAGATCTCTGCTTGTTTTCTAACCCTGGCGCAAAAATCACAAACATTTCCCTTCTCTGTGGCTTTTGCGGGTAGTGGTCCTGGGTGTGGCTGCTGGTGAGGACGTGGTAGAGGCAGCGGTGAAGACACAAGTGGCCCTCTCGCTTTGGGTGTCATGGCAGACATGAGTCTTGATCCCCCAGCATCTCCCCAAGGGCATTCTGCATACTGTCTGTGTAATTTCCCTGTCCTCCTCTGCTCCTCTGATTTTCCCACTTTCTCTGTAGGCTCAAAACCACGCCTGTGTGTGTCCTGGCAGTCTTCTCTGCCTCTCTTTGGGTTATTTATAAAGTTTCACACCCGCTGAAAAATGAAAATTGTGACATTTACCCTTTGCTCTATCCCCTAGCTCTTCTTTGGGTTAAGCAGCAAAGATTCGTTCTCTCAGTCTGTCAAAAGCAGATTGACAGGGTCCATGAGCCAGCTGAACACAGTGAAAGGCACACAGATGCAAACGCACAGAACAGGATTTGGACAAAGCCTACATCTAATAGCTCTCATCTGACTGTCCCCTTCCCTGGAATTCGCCTCTGCCTATGGTGGCTCTGCATCCCTCTTTTGTGCACTTGTGGAGTGAATGGAGCCATCCCTGAGAGGAGCTCTCCCCTGGGCCTTTTCTTTCCTAGACACATCGAGTTTCTCCTCATACATCAAATAACCAACCTAAAAATGAACCCTGTTTGTTTCCTTTAAAGACACCTTCTTTCCCTCCTTGACCGTCAATAACACCTCCCCACTTCCCAAGCTAAAGGGCTTGGCAAGCATCTATTTATTCTTCCATTTCCTTCTCTGGCCTCCCTCCTCCCCCCGGGACCCTCACTCCACTTCCTGAGCAGAAATTGGACAAATTGAGAGTTTTCTTTCTCACTTCCACTGTGTCTCTAGTTGAGGCTGGAATAATTTCCTGCTGAACCTGTGCAGGACTCCTCCTGCCCACCCTCATCACTGTCCTGCGTGGCTCTTCCCATTCTGAGGGCTCTTACATTTTACTATCAAAACATTTTCTTTTCTCAACCTCCTTACACTCCCAGCCCTGAATGGAGTTTATTCATGGGGTTATTAGTTTTCTTTTAGATTTCCAGACTGATTTTTTTATATCTCAATATGAAAGCCTGTTTCTCACAATATTTATATGACCCTGCCTTTTATATAAAAGTATTTCACAATATCTTCAGTCCTTTCCTGTTTATCTCATCTTTGCAACTTCCGAGTTTTTTATACCCACACGCAGCCACTGGCGGGCATAGACACCATCCTTTACCTTAGAGAACTCCTTTACTTTAACAAATTTAACATAAAGTTAAAGCACTACATTTGACATATACCCTATGCACCATATCTTCCTCTGGAAGTTTGCTTACAAATAACAAGACTATGATGTATTTTATTTCTATATAGCAAGTGACTGCTAAACACTTGTTTTGAATCACAACATGCGATGTCACAACATTCACTGTTTCTTTAAGAATACTTCCTGCCCTTGGACAGGAAATGGGAAGTGGAGCAGCCTTAGAATAGCCTTGAGGAAGTGCTGTTTTGGAAACTGTTATGGGGATAACATGGAACATTTCCTAAGACCCCGGCAAAGCAGAAGTAAGAGAAATCCATCTCAGCTGTTTCCCAGGGAGTTTTCATGCACTGAAAACTGTGACAAAGTCTCCTTGCTGTTTTAATGGAGAAGGTGCTTGAGATCAAGGCACTGATTTCTGTAATGCTGATGAGGCTGGGGGAGTGCCTGATGTAAGCACAGCACAGAGGACCCTGCTGCCTGCTTGCTGCAATCTCTGCCTTGACCCTGGATGGCTCGTTTGTGCTATCTGTACTCACGCTTCAGCTGGAACTCTCTTTTCTGTCCCATTGCTGTGGAAAGTCCTGTTTCCTGCAGTGTAACTGAATCCTGTTTGTTCATAGCAGTCACACGATGCTGAAGATGCTGTGCCAGCTTCCCATCGCTGTAAAAATAATTGAGATAATCAATTTATAAGAAGGAAAGATTTATTTCAGCTCATGGTTTCAGAGGTTTCAGTACCTGGTTGCTTGGCTCGATTGCCTTTTGGCAAGGCAGCACATCAGGGCAAGAGCATGCGGTGGGGCAAAGCTACTTGGCTGTGGCTTAGAAGTGGAAAAGAGATAACGTGCCTCAAGTCCCCTCGTAACCTTTAAGGTCACACCTCCAGTGACTAAAGGGGTTTCCATCAGGCCCCTCCTCTCATGTTTCCAGCTCTTCAGATTGCCAAGCCAGGGACTAAACATTTCATACAAGGATTTTCAGGAGACAGCCCAGGTCCAAACAACAGCGCTACTGACTTTCTCCCCAACTTTTAGGTATCATGCAGAGCCCTCCCACAAAGAAGCCAGGAAATGACCAATGCTTTCAACCACCACAACGGGACACTTCTGAGTGCTGCTCCCTGGTAGAATTAGCTATTGTTCTAATAGTCCCTTGAGTGAGTGTCCCTCAGACCACTCCTGGGGGCCCTGACACAACTGCTTGCTCTGTTTCACTTTTTAGATTTTTAACACATATTAGCAAAACCTAAATGAGATTTTTCATGGAGGTAATTTTAGTTTCTTCTCAAAGATAGGCAGGGAAAGCAGCATGATGCTTTGCCAGCTGTGGCTTTTGCACTTTGATGGAAAGATGCAAGCTCACTCTTTATCTCTTTATGGATCACAGAGGCCTGAACTAATTAGTACTTATTAGAAAGCCAATTAGAAATACATTTTATTTCTCCATGTGGTGTAAATGGAATGTGCCAAGGTTGATTGTGGACGGAGATATGCTCTCCAGCACTACTGCAGACATGGAGTCCGGAGAGCCCTGCACAACGAGGAATGTGGGATTCTCTTTCCCAGATGCTAACTGGACCCAGAGCTCTGAAAATGCTGGTGTGCATAGCTCTGGGCAATGAATGCCCTTTCCCAATTATGGCTAATCTCCCTAGCAGTGCAATGGATTGTTCTCCTGTAGCATTTCCTTTTTATTTTCATTTTGCTTCTAAAATTTGTACATATTGGGTCTTGTTGAGTTCATATTAAACATATATAAATGTGGATATATATATGCATCTATGTTCCATAATTCTCTATTCTCTTGTCCGATTCTTCTTATTCAGTTATCTAGGAGTACAAAATCAGGATGGCTTCATCTCTTCTCCCATCTCATCCCTGCATCTTGTTCTGATTTTGGACATGCTCCTCGTCTTTCCCTAAGGAATCCTTTGCCAACTGACTTAGCTATAGGCTGCAAAGGATTTGACCCATATATTTTAGCAGATTTTCTGTTTGCCTAAGTGCTATGCCAAGGATCATTTATTAAATAAGAAATTTCATATATATACCTTATAAATCTGTGGATTCTTCCCTTTTCTTTCCTCCTAGGAATAAGCTTTACCAGCAGCCCATATTAGATAACGGGAGAGGTTAGAAAGGACAGGGTTTTTTCTATCAAGTGCTTTCCTGTGATTCAGACTCAGTATGTGAGCGTTTTCTGGCTCTCCACTCACAGTGTGATTCTGTACACATTTCTGTTATGTGCTGCCCATCCCTTATCAGAATACATGTTTCTTCATAGCAAGTACGATGCTCACTTTGAAATGGGTATCATAAGTAAGTGATTTCCATGTGGACTATGGATATTTGTTAATTATCGAAAGTACTTTCTCAGACGCTCCACTCTGTCCCACTGTTGCCGCTGAGCTGACTAAGCCATCTGCTAGCCTGCTTTCTTATATTGTGTAGTTTGGTGTCTCCCGTGTGTCATTTTGAAAGCCACCACTGCTACTCCCTGAATTGCTTTCTATAGCTCATATTCTTTATTGCCACTGCCTTATTTTAGACTCTCACATTGTTCTCATCTTTCACTTGCCTTTGAGCTTAAACAAAATTGACCTCATTGTATGGGTCACTGTTTAATGGTTATTCAAAATTAAATGTAGCCTTCAGCTCTGAAAAGTCTAATAAAAACAATTACTTATTTTATTCTGTAGCACCACTATTCTGTGTGTGTGTGTGTGTGTGTGTGTGTGTGTGTGTGTGTGTGTGTGTGTGTTTGGACCAGGGACAAAATTTTAAAATTGTGACTCTAAACAAAAATGGCCAAGAAGTTTCATTCTCCATAAAGTACAAAACAAACAGCTATCCGTAGAAAGGGCATATTAGGTACCTGTGTGACATTTACACTGATATTTTCTTCTAGTTTTTCCACGAGATTTGCTTCATTGCTTTTTATAAGCATCTCCTAGATGGGATTTATTCTGAGTTGAATCCATCCCATATTTTGCCTTGTGCCAGGTAACAGGTAATGTGGAGCTTCATTTGTCCCTGAAATCAACTCTTCCCTTCCATTGCTGGACATTACGATGTTACATACCCTCCTTTTGGATAATAAAGCCTTTGTTTGATGTAAGAAATTGAGTTGGCACTCAATCCTGACCCAAGAATGTTTCTAAAATTCTGTATCAAGCCCAATTCAAAATAAAAAGATTCTCATATAATCCGAGTATACTCGCCATAAATTAAAAGTATGCTTTATTCTGTTTCCAAAGACTCTTAAGACTTTGGGATGTCCCAAATGCATAGCATATTTTCCATCAATCGTTACTATTACATACCATTCATTTTTTATGATTTTGTTCTTAGCCATGTTCTTTGGTATCACAATTTGCTGGTGCTGTATTTTCGCCACATATAGGTGTTTCTCACATTTCACCCTCAGCTTCTGTCTGACAAATCAAACTCCTGTCTGCTTCTCAGGTCCCAGCTGAGTCATTTCTATACCCACACAGCTGGTCATTTTTCCTCTCCCTTAAGCTTCAAGAAAGATCTTAAGTGTAATGCTGGTCCTTTGCCCACTTTGTCCTGGTAGGTAGTTAGAGGCATATTTCAGGTTTTTTATCAAGTTCCTCATGGATCCAGTGCAAGCCGTGGAGATCCACATCTCCTGTGCTGTTAGGATCAGAATTAGTCCTTGAAGTAGATTGTGTGAGACTTGCATGGCCTCCTGGGAACCAGGACTGAAGTGCATTCTTGTCATTGATCAGATGATAAGACATAATTTAAACTTCTCTAGTTATTGTTCTAATATCTAGAAGTTTATGCATGCTGTAATGCATTTTATAATCATTCGATGTACACTTGTTTAGAATGTAACAGTTCTGAGATAGCAGTTGTACCTCAGAAACACACCATTTGGCCCTTCCTCCTGTCTCTAGTTCCATCTCATATGCCTGTTCCCTCTGACTCTGTTCAACACAAGTGAATACAGCTTTCCCCACCATCTGGGTCACAAGTCACCACTTCCCTACGGGTATCACATCTGAAGCATATGAATCTGCGAAAGTTAATAACAAAATGTTCCCTGACTGCACGTGGCATGGGTGGAAGTTATGCAACTTATCTGTGTTATCCTTCTCTCCCTCCTTCAAAATGATTCCAGAACAAAGAGCCGTTCCAGCTCCCCTTTGTCACGCACTCTCTCAATTTCATTCCCACATCTCCTCGGCAATCTCCAGCAGAGACTCTCTTCTGTCCATCCAACTGTGTGTCATCTCTGGTCCATGTGACAGCTCTTCTCCTTGGCCTGCTTATCCACACTGCTGCCAAGTCCACCCTCATCCTGCCCTCAGAATAAATCAGAAACTGCTCCATCGCTAATGTTTACCCTCTCAACTGTGGAATCTGAATCACAACTAAAACGTGTATGAGTCACGGGCTGAGTTTTAATATTGAAAGTTCCCACGACTGATGTGCCCCTGTGGGCAGTCACCGGCTTCTTTCGGATTCATTTTGATGATGAATCAGCTTCTAGCTGCCTTGTGATCTGGCTTGTTCTTTCTCCTTGATCCTTCCCAGATCTGCTCTTCCCTCAGCCAGTTAGTTTCTCCTGGGAGGAAGCTTAGAGGGATTAAGTGGCAATTCCACTCACTCCAGCACTACAACATTTTTAAAACCAAATGTTTTCCCAACCTTGTTAGGTCCCCTTCCTCCTCCTTTTTCCTTTAAGCAGTAGATGCCTTCATGAAGCTTCTGGCATATCTTTCTCTGGCTTTTAAGGGCTTATGCTAATCCTAACACTATCAACCATTCTGTTGGGGTCAGCACTTTTCCAGAACATTCTTTACCCTGCCTGACTTCCTTTGGCTTTTGCCACCTTCTCTGATCTTACCCAAGATGCCACTGTGGTGGTTGTAGGAGCAGCCTTTCCCCATTCCTGCCCCTTGCGAGAAGCACCCATCTGTGCTGAGCCTACACAGAAGTATACAACCCCAAAATCATGTTGGACTTTTAGGAGAACCGTAGTTCTCATCCACTCAAACTATCACTTCCAGAATGAACACATAAACTAAAAGATGGTTAACAGAAATAAGAAAAATATTTGAGATAAAATTTTAACGTCATGACATTACAGTGGGGAGGCAAAATAACGTAAGCCAAAAGCTAGAGAATCATCTTTCTCCATATATATGAGCAAGTGCTTGAATTCTCCTGACCTCACTCTCCCAGATGCTAGAATGTTCCAGATAAATACCGTGGGCTGTGGAAATTCCTCCCTTTCTTTCCTAAATAGTTTTTGCACCAATCTTTAATCAAGGGTGGATATGATTTTCTCTCTAGAGTATTGGAGAACATCCTAGAGATAGAACATAGTGAAACAATAACCAGATACAATTTCTGAAATTCTCATCACAGAAATAGCAGCACAATGATCTCAGGCATATGTCCCAAAATGTAGAATCAAAACTTCTAGCTCTCTACTCCCCCTAAGTCAGCTTACTTTCTGGCTCTCCTACCCTCCCTGGCCCAGGATACCTCCAGTCTTCAGTTGCCCAAAACTTTGGATTTTTCTCCTCCCTTATCCAAAATACTCAGGCTACTGTGGCTTTTTTGATTTCCTCTCCATGTTGGATTTAAGATCCCATCATCTTCTCCTTGGATTATCACACTGGTCTCCTAGATGGGAACCACTGCACCCTGTGTTCCCTCACTCCTGCTGCTTCTGTTGGAGTACCAGATTGATCATACCCAACTCTATGTCCGGTGCATCCCTGTCTTGATTGAGGACATAAATGGCCTCCATTTGCGCCATACCCCAAAAGCAAATGGCTCTTTCCAAATTCCAAGGAGAACAATTACTTTCAATAGTCTTTGATTTTTATTTTTCTTGGCTCTTTTGTTAGGTGTTTATAGGTGCACATTGTTCTAAATCTTTTGCTTTTTTAAATATTATGCAATGTCATGTTTTTCCCTGTAATGTTTCTGTCAACTATAATTTATCTGATTAACATTACCAAACTAAATCTCTTCAGA